GAGACTGCGGACATAGTACAGGAGATGACCAGAGACTGCGGACATAGTACAGGAGATGACCAGAGACTGCAGACAGTACAGGAGATGACCAGAGACTGCGGACATAGTACAGGAGATGACCAGAGACTGCGGACATAGTACAGGAGATGACCAGAGACTGCGGACATAGTACAGGAGATGACCAGAGACTGCGGGACATAGTACAGGAGATGACCAGAGACTGCGGACACAGTACAGGAGATGACCAGAGACTGCAGACACAGTACAGGAGATGACCAGAGACGCGGACACAGTACAGAAGATGACCAGAGACTGCGGACACAGTACAGGAGATGACCAGAGACTGCGGACACAGTACAGGAGATGACCAGAGACTGCGGACATAGTACAGGAGATGACCAGAGACTGCGGACATAGTAAAGGAGATGACCAGAGACTGCGGACATAGTACAGGAGATGACCAGAGACTGCGGACATAGTACAGGAGATGACCAGAGACTGCGGACAAGGTACAGAGATGACCAGAGACTGCAGACAGTACAGGAGATGACAGAGACTGCAGACATAGTACAGGAGATGACCAGAGAGACTGCGGACATAGTACAGGAGATGACCAGAGACTGCGGACACAGTACAGGAGATGACCAGAGACTGCAGACACAGTACAGGAGATGATCAGAGACTGCGGACATAGTACAGGGGATGACCAGAGACTGCGGACACAGTACAGGAGATGACAGAGACTGCGGACATAGTACAGGAGATGACCAGAGACTGCGGACATATTACAGGAGATGACCAGAGACTGCAGACAGTACAGGAGATGACCAGAGACTGCGGACATAGTACAGGAGATGACCAGAGACTGCGGACATAGTACAGGAGATGACCAGAGACTGCGGACATAGTACAGGAAATGACCAGAGACTGCGGACATAGTACAGGAGATGACCAGAGACTGCAGACACAGTACAGGAGATGACCAGAGACTGCAGACAGTACAGGAGATGACCAGAGACTGCGGACATAGTACAGGAGATGACCAGAGACTGCGGACACAGTACAGGAGATGACCAGAGACTGCGGACATAGTACAGGAGATGACCAGAGACTGCGGACATAGTACAGGAGATGACCAGAGACTGCGGACATAGTACAGGAGATGACCAGAGACTGCGGACATAGTACAGGAGATGACCAGAGACTGCGGACATAGTACAGGAGATGACCAGAGACTGCGGACATAGTACAGGAGATGACCAGAGACTGCAGACATAGTACAGGAGATGACCAGAGACTGCGGACATAGTACAGGAGATGACAGAGACTGCGGACAGTACAGGAGATGACCAGAGACTGCGGACACAGTACAGGAGATGACCAGAGACTGCGGACACAACAGGGGATGACCAGAGACTGCGGACACAGTACAGGAGATGACCAGAGACTGCGGACAGTACAGGAGATGACCAGAGACTGCGGACATAGTACAGGAGATGACCAGAGACTGCGGACATAGTACAGGAGGACCAGAGACTGCAGACAGTAGGAGATGACCAGAGACTGCGGACATAGTACAGGAGATGACCAGAGACTGCGGACATAGTACAGAGATGACCAGAGACTGCGGACACAGTACAGGAGATGACCAGAGACTGCGGACACAGTACAGGAGATGACCAGAGACTGCGGACACAGTACAGGAGATGACCAGAGACTGCGGACACAGTACAGGAGATGACCAGAGACTGCGGACACAGTACAGGAGATGACAGAGACTGCGGACATAGTACAGGAGATGACTAGAGACTGCGGACATAGTACAGGAGATGACCAGAGACTGCGGACATAGTACAGGAGATGACCAGAGACTGCGGACATAGTACAGGAGATGACAGAGACTGCGGACATGTACAGGAGATGACCAGAGACTGCGGACAAGGTATAGAAGATGACCAGAGACTGCAGACATAGTACAGGAGATGACCAGAGACTGCAGGACATACAGGAGATGGACAGAGATGACATAGTACAGGACATGACAGAGACTGCGGGACATAGTACAGGAGATGACCAGAGACTGCGGACACAGTACAGGAGATACAGAGACTGACCAGTACAGGGGATGACCAGGACTGCGGACACAGTACAGGAGATGACCAGAGACTGCAGACACAGTACAGGAGATGACCAGAGACTGCGGACATACAGTACAGGGATGACCAGTACAGGGATGACAGAGACTGCGGACATAGTACAGGAGATGACCAGAGACTGCGGACATAGTACAGGAGATGACCAGAGACTGCAGACAGTACAGGAGATGACCAGAGACAGCGCGACATAGTACAGGAGATGACCAGAGACTGCGGACATAGTACAGGAGATGACCAGAGACTGCGGACATAGTACAGGAGATGACCAGAGACTGCGGACATAGTACAGGAGATGACCAGAGATGACCACAGACAGTACAGGAGATGACCAGAGACTGCGGACATAGTACAGGAGATGACCAGAGACTGCAGACAGACACAGGAGATGACCAGAGACTGCGGACATAGTACAGGAGATGACCAGAGACTGCGGACATTGTACAGGAGATGACCAGAGACTGCGGACATAGTACAGGAGATGACCAGAGACGGCGGACATAGTACAGGATGACCAAAGTGCGGACACAGTACAGGAGATGACCAGAGACTGCGGACATAGTACAGGAGATGACCAGAGTATGCGGACACAGTACAGAGATGACCAGAGACTGCGGACACAGTACAGGAGATGACCAGAGACTGCGGACACAGTACAGGAGATGACCTAGAGACTGCGGGCATAGTACAGGAGATAACTAGAGACTGCGGACACATAGTAAAGGAGATGACCAGAGACTGCGGACATAGTACAGGAGATGACCAGAGACTGCGGACATAGTACAGGAGATGACCAGAGACTGCGGACAAGGTATAGGAGATGACCAGAGACTGCAGACATAGTACAGGAGATGATCAGAGACTGCAGACAGTACAGGAGATGGACAGAGACTGCAGACATAGTACAGGACATGACCAGAGACTGCGGACATAGTACAGGAGATGACCAGAGCTGCAGACACAGTACAGGAGATGACCAGAGACTGCAGACACAGTACAGGAGATGACCAGAGACTGCGGACATAGTACAGGGGATGACCAGGGACTGCGGACACAGTACAGGAGATGACCAGAGACTGCGGACACAGTACAGGAGATACCAGAGACAGCGGACATAGTACAGGAGATGACCAGAGACTGCGGACATAGTACAGGAGATGACCAGAGACTGCAGACAGTACAGGAGATGACCAGAGACTGCGGACATAGTACAGGAGATGACCAGAGACTGGAGATGACCAGGACATAGTACAGGAGAGATGACCAGAGACTGCAGAAGTACAGGAGATGACCAGAGACTGCGGACATAGTACAGGAGATGACCAGAGACTGCGGACATAGTACAGGAGATGACCAGAGACTGCGGACATAGTACAGGAGATGACAGAGACTGCGGACATAGTACAGGAGATGACCAGAGACTGCGGACATAGTACAGGAGATGACCAGAGACTGCGGACATAGTACAGGAGATGACCAGAGACTGCGGACATAGTACAGGAGATGACCAGAGACTGCGGACATAGTACAGGAGATGACCAGAGACTGCGGACATAGTACAGGAGATGACCAGAGACTGCGGACATAGTACAGGAGATGACCAGAGACTGCGGACATAGTACAGGAGATGACCAGACTGCCAGTAGGAGATGACCAGAGACTGGGACACAGTACAGGAGATGACCAGAGACTGCGGACAAAGTACAGGAGATGACCAGAGACTGCAGACATACAGTACAGGGAGATGACCAGAGACTGCGGACACAGTTACATAGGGGACATGACCAGAGACTGCGGACACAGTACAGGAGATGACCAGAGGACTGCGGACACAGTACAGGAGATGACCAGAGACTGCGGACACAGTACAGGAGATGACCAGAGACTGCGGACATAGTACAGGAGATGACCAGAGACTGCGGACACAGTTACAGGAGATGACCAGAGACTGCAGAACAGTACAGGACATAGTACAGGAGATGACCAGAGACTGCGGACATAGTACAGGAGATGACCAGAGAATGCGGACATAGTACAGGAGATGACCAGAGACTGCGGACATAGTACAGGAGATGACCAGAGACTGCGGACATAGTACAGGAGATGACCAGAGACTGCGGACACAGTACAGGAGATGACCAGAGACTGCGGACATAGTACAGGAGATGACCAGAGACTGCGGACATAGTACAGGAGATGACCAGAGACTGCGGACATAGTACAGGAGATGACCAGAGACTGCGGACATAGTACAGGAGATGACCAGAGACTGCGGACATAGTAACAGGAGATGACATAGACAGTTACAGGAGATGACCAGAGACTGCGGACATAGTACAGGAGATGACCAGAGACTGCGGACAGTACAGGAGATGACCAGAGACTGCAGACATAGTACAGGAGATGACCAGAGACTGCAGACATAGTACAGGAGGTTGACCAGAGATGCAGACAGTACAGGAGATGACCAGAGACTGCAGGACACAGTACAGGAGATGACCAGAGACTGCGGACATAGTACAGGAGATGACCAGAGACTGCAGACACAGTACAGGAGATGACCAGAGACTGCGGACATAGTACAGGAGATGACCAGAGACTGCGGACATAGTACAGGGGATGACCAGAGACTGCGGACACAGTACAGGAGATGAACAGAGACTGCGGACATAGTACAGGAGATGACCAGAGACTGCGGACATATTACAGGAGATGACCAGATACTGCGGACATAGTACAGGAGATGACCAGAGACAGCGGACATAGTACAGGAGATGACCAGAGACTGCGGACATAGTACATGAGATGACCAGAGAATGCGGACATAGTACAGGAAATGACCAGAGACTGCGGACATAGTACAGGAGATGACCAGAGACTGCAGACAGTACAGGAGATGACCAGAGACTGCGGACATAGTACAGGAGATGACCAGAGACTGCAGACAGTACAGGAGATGACCAGAGACTGCGGACATAGTACAGGAGATAACCAGAGACTGCGGACATAGTACAGGAGATGACCAGAGACTGCGGACATAGTACACAGGAGATGACCAGAGACTGCGGACATAGTACAGGAGATGACCAGAGACTGCAGACATAGTACAAGGGATGACCAGAGACTGCGGACATAGTACAGGAGATTACCAGAGACTGTGGACACAGTACAGGAGATGACCAGAGACTGCGGACACAGTACAGGAGATGACCAGAGACTGCAGACAGTACAGGGGATGACCAAGAGACTGCAGACAGTACAGGGATGACCAAGAGACTGCAGACAGTACAGTGGATGACTGCGGACCTTTGGGGAGGGAGGGGGAGCGGGTACCTGAATTTGACAGGTACTGTTAGGTTCCTACCGGTGGTAGCCTCTAGCATTCCACAGACCGGAATCCCCAAGGCGCGGAATCTAAGTCCCAACCTGCTTGTTCACCAGGGCTCCTGATGGTGGGGATGGACTTGGAGCAGGCAGAGACCAGGTCGCGGCCCTTGGGTTCACCCAGCTGCGGTAGAAGCACCACTGTAGGTATATAGCAGGTGAGAGCCTGATATGAGGAGGTAACAAGAGCAGCATCGGGCAGGCCGGGTCGGTAACAGTGGAGGCAGAGTGGTACAAAATCAGTAGGCAGAAGGATAAACAGGTCACAAGCCGGGTTCGGTAACAGGAGATCAGAACGTGCAGGGTTAAGCAGGAGAATGGTCAGACAAGCCAGGGATCAGAACAGGAGACAGACAGCAAATCAGGGTCAGCAACAAGACAATCTACAATACAGGAACTCAGGATACAGGTAAGACCATACGGCAACTAGACACAGCCCTGTCCTGTTTTAAATAGGGCGCCCTGCGCCCTGATTGGTGCCAGGCGCGCGTCTGTGACCGCGAGTGCGCATGCGCGAGTGCGGCTGCAATCGCGGGTGCCCAGGTCCCAATGCTCGCGCGCTAGTGCGGCTGGGCACACCGCGCATGCACAAACCCGTGAGCGATCGCGGCCAGCTCTGGGGTCCCTGACATTGCCCCCCCTCTTACGGGCAGCCTCCGGATGCCCACCCGATTCCTCCTTTGAGGCTTGTTACGAAGGAATTCCTGCATCAATCTGGGAGCATGGACATTCTGAGCAGGTTCCCACGAATTCTCCTCTGGCCCATAGCCTTTCCACTTGATCAGGTATTGCACTTGACCACCCCTTTTCCTGAAATCCAAAATTGCCTCTACCTCGAATTCTTCCTCCCCGTTGATATCTATGGCCTCTGGAGGTCTAGATCTGCGGTCTAAAAAGGGGTCTGGAACTGCAGGTTTTAGCAACGACACGTGGAAAACCAGATGTATCTTGAGGGATTCGGGGAGAGCCAGTTTAAATGCCACTTCATTAACCTTATGTTCTACTTGGAAGGGTCCCACAAATTTGGGTGCCAATTTCCTTGATGGACATGTCAGTTTTAGGTTAACTGTTGACAACCAAACCGGATCCCCGGGGTGTATGATCAATTCCCCCTTTCTCCTCCTGTCACAGAACTTTTTACTATCTTCCTGGGCTCTAGCCATTGTTTCCTGTAATAACTTGTTATTGGTAGTAAAGAATTTTAAGGTGTTCTGGGCTGCAGGGACTGAGTTTTCTGGAACCAGGTCTGGCAGGAAGGTTGGGTGGAACCCATAGTTGGCGAAGAATGGGGATTGGTTGGTGGCGGAATGATTCGCATTATTATATGCGAATTCTGCCATTGGTAGAAGTGTCAGCCAGTCATCCTGTAGGAATGATGTATAACATCTCAGATATTGCTCGAGCGTCTGATTAGTTCGCTCTGTCTGCCAGTTAGTCTGTGGGTGGTATGCAGAAGAAAACGATAACTTGATCTCCAACCCCTCACATAGCGCCTTCCAGAATTTGGACGTGAATTGCACTCCCCGGTCCGAGACAATATTTCTTGGCTCTCTGTGAAGCCTTACAATCTCTTTAATGAAAACTTGGGCCATTTCGGAAGCAGATGGTGTCCTTGCTAGTGAAAGGAAGTGGGCCAGTTTAGAAAGGCGATCTACCACTACAAAGATCACTATGTGATCTTGCGAGGGTGGCAATTCTACAATAAAGTCTAAGGAGATCATACTCCAGGGTCAGTCAGGTATTGACAAAGGTCTCAACAGGCCCCAAGCCCTGTCTCTGGTGGGTTTATTCCGGTTGCAGATGGGGCAAGATCTCACGTACGCTTCTCAATCCTTGGCCATATTTGGCCACCAAAATGTGCGTTGTGCCAATTCTAAAGTCTTGTGTATCCCAAAGTGACCCGCCAGTGGATGGTCATGGCAATAGCCTAAAACCAGGGACTGGGCCTCCTTGGGTACCAGGATCTGTTCCCCCCTCCAGAAAAGACCTTCCTTGCTCTGTAGTGAGGTCCCAGGTAGATCAGGAACCCAGGTGGAGGCGGTCTGCAGTTTGGACAACAGCTCAGACTGGAGCAATAGGAAGCTACGTGCTGGCAAAATGGTATCTGGTTGGGGTGTCCCTCTAGGGTCCTCAAACATCCGGGAAAGAGCATCTGGCTTAGTATTTTTAGACCCAGGACGGTAGGTGATATGGAGGCTAAACCTTGCAAAGAACAGTGCTGTCTTTAGGTATTCAAGGTTTTTATGGTCGGTATAGACCAGAATGGGATGTAGGGCTCCCTCTAACAGATATCGCCATTCCTCCAGAGCTGCCTTAATGGCCAACAATTCCCGATCTCCGATATCATAGTTTCTTTCTGAAGGGGAGAGCTTCCTAGAAAAGAAAGCCACCGGATGCATTAGCTCCTTGGCCCCTACTCTCTGTGACAACACTGCTCCTACAGCCACTTCTGATGCGTCTACCTCTAGTATATATGGCAATGATGCATCAGGGTGGCTCAGAATAGGAGGAGCTTCTTCAATGCCTCAAAAGCAGCCTGTGCTGCTGGGATCCATTGGAAACGTACCCCCACCTTGGTGAGCTGGGTAATGGGTGCTACCAGGCCTGAAAAGTTCTTTATAAACTTTCTATAAAAATTAGTGAACCCAATAATCCTCTAAACTCCCTTCTTATCCGTGGGGGTAGGCCATTCCAAAATGGCCGAGATTTTCTGAGGGTCCATAGCAATCCCCGTGGTGGAGATAATTAGACCTAAAAATGAGATACTTTCTTGCTCAAAACAGCATTTCTCGGCTTTAGCGTAGAGCCCATGCTGACAGAGTCTTTCCAGCATGCTCCTGACATGTCCCCGATGCACCTCCAGAGACGAGGAAAATATCAAAATGTCATCTAGGTAGACGATCACAAAAATGTCAAGAAAATCTCTAAAAATGTCATTGACGAAGTGCTGGAAGGTGGCTGGCGCATTACATAACCCAAAAGGCATAACTAGACATTCAAAATGCCCAAACCGAGTGCGAAAGTCGTTTTCCACTCGTCCCCCTCACATATACGCACCAGGTTATAGGCACCCTTGAGATCAAGCTTAGAAAAAATGGATGCTGTCTTCAGCTTCTGAAACAACTCTGGGACAAAAGGAAGGGGGTAGCGGTTCTTGACCATAATTTTATTGAGATCCCTATAGTCAACACAAGGTCTCAGGGATTGGTCCGTTTTTTAGACAAAAAAAAAATCCCTGCCCCGGCCGGTGATGTGGAAGGGCGGATAAATCCCTTCCGGAGGCTCTCATCAATGTATTCCTTCAGGGCCCCTAGCTCACGTTCTGACAGTGGGAAAATATGGCCAAAAGGTATTTCAGAAACTGGGAGCAGATCAATGGGACAGTCATATGCCCGATGCGGGGGAAGAATCTCTGCCCCCCATGGGCTAAACACATCAAGGAATTGATGATAGGCGGCAGGCACAATTTGGGCCAACTCGGCATCAGGGCTCACAGCTAATCGGTGTTTCTAGTGACAACCTAGGTAAGCAATGTTCCTGGCAGTACAGTGAGGGAAACTGAATTGACCCGGCCTTCCAGTCAATTTGGGGGTCATGAGCTCATAGCCAGGGGAGCCCCAAAATAACTGGAAATAGGGGGGACGCAATGGTGTCCAAACAGAGAAGCTCCTGATGATGCCCTGCCACTGTGGTGTGTATAGGAGGGGTCTCCCGATCTACCGTCCCCGATTTTATTTGAGACCCATCGGCCAAGAAAATATTCAGGCCATGCTCTTTGGCGAGTAACGGTATCTGTTGCTGGGCTGCAAAACCGAGATCGACAAAGCAGCTACATGCCCCGGAGTCAATAATAGCTGTCACCTGTATGCTTCTTCCGGGAAGCTGAAAAGACACAGGCACAGCCAAGTGAGTGGGGTTGCCTGTGCACACAGTAGATATAGCAGAAGAAATGGAAGAGGACTTACTGTATTTCTCAGGACAGGAGCGCACCATGTGACCCGCTGCTCCGCAGTACAGACACAGATTGTTCGCTCGACGCCTTTGTCGTTCCTCTGTAGAAAGGGAAGACTGCATCAGACCGAGCTGCATGGGCTTAGCCCCCTCTGACGGTTCTGGACTCCGATTGCCGACACTGACCCTTGGCATGACTGGTACCCTTGGCAGCATCCATGAGGTTCTTTGCCCCTGGCTGGACCTCTCCTGTCTCCTTTCCCGCAAGCTGCGATCGATTTGGATGGCCCGGTCTATTAGGCCTTCCAAGGAGTCAGGGACTCCTATTCTTGCTAACTCGTCCTTTAGCGGTTCCGACAATCCCAACCGGAATTGATGGCGTAAGGCTGCGTCATTCCATTGCGTGTCTCCACTCCAACGCCTGAACTCAGCAGCATAATCCTCCGCAGTCCGGCGTCCCTGTTGTAGAGAATAGAGGGCTGCCTCAGCCGAGGCAGCTTGATGTGGGTCGTCGTAAAGCTGTGCCATTGCCTTAAAGAGCCCATCTCTGGGGTTCACCCTGCAACAGGGATATAATAAATCCCACCTTCACTGATTCAGAAGAGAAGGTCCGGGTTTGCAGGTCAAAGTACAGCTGGCAGGAGTTCTGGAAAGCCCTGAACTTCCCTCGATCCCCATTGAACCGCTCAGGGGTTGGTACTCTTGGTTCTTGCGGAGGGATGGAAAATGCTGCTCCAGTGGAAGGCCCTGCTGCACCTGATGTTGTGGGCGCCAGTGCGGCCAGGCTCTGAACCTGTCCCTCCAGGTGTTTGTATCCTTCTTCCAGTGTTTTTACAGCTCGTGTGAGTGCCGCCAGATGTTGGCACATCTCTTCCCAGAGTAAGGGTCCTCCTCCAGACTCTGTCATGGCCGTATGGTTCTGTTGGGTACCTACCGGTGGTAGCCTCTAGCTTTTCACAGACAGGAATCCCCCAAGGCGTGGAATCTAAGTCCCAACCTGCTTGTTCACCAGGGCCCCTGATGGTGGGGATGGACTTGGAGCAGGCCGAGACCAGGTCGTGGCCCCTGGGTTCACCCAGCTGCTGTAGAAGCACCACTGGCGGTGTATAGCAGGTGAGAGCCTGATGTGAGGAGGTAACAAAAGCAGCATCGGGCAGGCCGGGTCGGTAACGGTGGAGGCAGAGTGGTACAAAATCAGTAGGCAGAAGGATAAACAGGTCACAAGC